AGGGGGGAAGAAAGAATGAAAGAGGGTTAGAGAGGACGAAAGAAAGTGAAAGAGGACGAAAGAGGGTGAGAGGGAATGAAAGAGGGTGTGAAAGACGACGAAACAGGGTGAAAGAGGGGTGAGAGGGAATGAAAAAGGGTGAGAGAGGACGGCAAGAGGGTGAAAGAGGGCGAAAGAGGGTGAAAGAGGACGAAAAAGGGTGAAAGAGGACGAAAAGAGGGTGAGAAAGGACGTACGAGGGTGAAAGAGGTGAGAGAGGAGGTGAGAGGAGGACGAAAGAGAGTGAAAGAGGAGAAAGATGTGAGAGAGAATGAAAGAGGGTGAGAGAGGACGAAAGAGGGTGAAAGAGGCGACAGATGGTGAAAAAAGACGAAAGAGGACGAAAGAGGACGAAAGAGGTGAAAGAGGCGAAGATGTGTGAAAGAGGACGAAAGAGGGTGAAAGAGGGTGAAAGAGGACAAAGAGGGTGAGAGAGAACAAAAAGACTGAAAAAATAGGACGAAAGAGGGTGAGTTAGGGCCAAAGAGGGGTGGGAGTGGGGGTGGGGGTGGGGCGGGATGTGGGAGGGAAAGGGGTGGGTGGAAGTTGAGGGAGGTGTGAGTGAAAGGTGAGAAGAGATTTATTTATATATATAATCCTGATGACGTCAGCGGACGCGGACAGAGAAGAAGAAGAAGAAGAAGAAGAAGAAGAAGAAGACGACGTTTCTTAATTTTTCATGAAAAACGTCACTTTTTGACCGCTTGTATCTCCGGAACGGCTTGACCGATTTTATTTTTTCTTGGCTCAAATTACTCGTGGCGATGCCGCCTTTCAGGTTATGTTACGTGCAATTCAAAATTTTTTATATTTTAGTAGTTCTACATTCCCAAAAATGGACTTTGATGGTGCAGGATAAGGAGACTTGTAGTACGTAATAGTTACAATATAAATAATAAATAATTTACGTTTTTTAAACCATATTTTTATTCAGAACATTTTCAATTCATTATACATTTTATTATATTTAATTTAATTATATTTAATGTTTAGGGTTTGAACATGGCCGGAGACACTACCGCGTCTCCTGATATATATATATATATATGTGTTCACCCTACCCCGGTAATCTTCGACTACCCCTTCAAGTTCTTAAAGAAAGAACCTTACCCTATCGAAACTGGTTGGCACATAAGTCCACCACCCCCCTTTATATTAAGTTGGAACATTTTCCATAAGTTTCCCCTTACATCCCTTAAGAAAATATATATCCCCGTGCTAGAAACAGTTAGGGAAAGGGAAGGAAGCAAGGAAAAGGAAAAGAAAGGGAAACGAGGGAAGGAAGGAAGGAACACGAGATGAAAGAATGAAAGAATGAATGAAAGTTCCTGCTTGGGAGAAATTCGCCCTATCACTCTACTCAATTCTTTTGAGTCCCCTCTGTTAACCACCTTATCAGGCAATAGGTGATCCTTCCCTGCTGGAGTCGAGAGAGCCAGCAAGTGCCTCGCGCGCTTGCCTCTCCCTCTCTCTATCCTCCTTTGTCCTCATGACGTTCCCGGCGAACCGAGACATCGCCTTCCAGGCCTCCTCGCTCGTGCTGATAGCCCGCACCACTGTTTCCAAACTGAGGTCTTGACCGATGACCCTCGAGAGGACCTCCCTATCCGCCGACCACGCGCTACACTCCCGCACCGTGTGTTCTGCGGAGTCTACCCTGTCCTCCCCACAGTGCTCACAGACCGGGGAACTCACTTTCCCTATACGGTATAGGTAGGTCCCAAAACACCCATGTCCGGTAAGGATCTGGGTGAGATGGAACGAGATACTACCGTGGCTACGATCCAACCACGCATTCAAGCTAGGGAAAACCGCATCCCTAGTGCGAGCTCCCGCTAACAACGGTCGTTGAAGTTGGATGCCCCATTGACGCCTGGTAAGAAGCACCTCCGATTCCCGAATATCCTTCATCGAATCCTCGATTCCCTCTTCCTCATTACTCCGTAGGTCTTTCGTCCTGAGATAGACTCTCCTTCTCATACACGCCATCAAATGCAGTGGCGGAATTCGTGCCAATATAGACGCTGCCTCCAGAGAAACCGTTCTATAAGCCGAAATGACCTTAGGTTGGTGACCTTCATTACTCTATCCACCTTCTCCCTACTCCTTCTAGCCGAAGTTAGGGAGTCGCACCAAACGGGCGCAGCATATAATACTATTGAGAGGACTACATGTGCGTAGAGTTTTCTCTTTGTTTCCTTCGGACCTCTTAGATTCGGCATAAGTCTCCCCAAGGACCTTGCCACCCTCGAGACTTTTGCTTCAACGTAATTGAAATGCTCCTTAAAATTCAGCTTGTCATCCAAGATTACTCCCAGATATTTCATGGAAGTTTTTGTTTGGATTGCCTCTCTTCCGATGTCCAGCGTTGGCAGTTCCCTGGGTCTTTTCCGACAGAAAAGTACTGCCTCCGTCTTTTGTACTGCAACCAATAGTCCAAGCTTTCTAATGCGGTTTAAAACCAGCCCTGTCTGCAGCTTTGCTCTTGCCGTGGCCTCTACCACTGAATTCGCAGTGGCAAGGATGAGGGTGTCGTCCGCGTAGCATATCAACTCGCACCCATTAACAGGTTTTCCTGTAGAATGCTGTCGTACCCTATGTTCCAAAGGGTTGGCCCCAGGACCGATCCCTGCGGGACTCCTGCCGTCATACGCCTTACCACCAAGTTGCCCCTACCGTCGATATACTCTACGGATCTGTCGAACAGATAACTGTCTATAATCCTACGGTATTCTGGAAAACACCTACGCTGAAGGGCCTCTCTAATTGTCTTCCAAGGTAGCGAGTTGAACGCATTGCGTATATCAATGCTGATCGCAATAGTGACTTCACCCTCATCCATTGCCTCCATTATGATCGATTGCACATACATCAGGGCATCACATGTGCTTCTACCTGCACGGAATCCATACTGGTTCTCCGATAGGGAGAAGTCAGGGTTTTCGTCCATCCATTGGTTGAGTCTCTCCACGAGAATCTTCTCCATAATCTTGCCCATTTTGTTGAGAAGGCATATGGGTCTTACCTTGGGCAGTTCTTCCTCTGAATTTCCTCCTCCTTTGGGGATCAAAACTAGTAGGGCTTTCTTCCACTCTTTCGGAAAAGTGCCCTCCTTTAGACATTGATTATAGCACACCGTTAGATGTACTATCGTGTCTTTGGGTAATTTCCCAAAGATCTTCATTTTGATCCCATCAGGACCAGGGGCGGTATTGTTGCCCGCTTTCTCCTTTATAACTCTCGCTACCTCATGGTAAGCGATGGCCCATTCTTCTTTCCATTGCCATTCCTGCCACAGCAACGCTGGATTGACCTCGCCTCCATGTGGGAATAGAGCTTCTATTAACAGGTCAAGGACCTCTCCGTCCAGCGTCTCCGTCAGACTTGAGGCAGCTGTTCGAAGCTTCCCCAGCACCAGCTTATAGGGCATGCCCCACGGGTCCGATTCAATGGTGTCTAACAGCTCTTGCCACGCCGCTTGTTTTGCCTTATTAATTTCGAATCTCAGCTTCCGCCTCGCTTCTTTATGATCCGTCCAAAGTTGGTATATGCGTTCCTCAGGATCGTGCCTTTTTTTTTTTTTTGTGACGCTGGGGAAACCGTCATGGTACCGCGCACCCTCGGGTAGGGGTGCAGGTTATGTGGGACTCCTTGTTCCCCTTGATCGAGCCACGAATGGTTCGACCAGGGGGCCCAAGACCTACCTCACTAAAACCCCAGCGGGTGTTCTTCCCGGGCGTTGGATAGGGGACGGCGAGGATGCTGGATCCCATGCCGTCTCGCCGTCCCCCCGCCAAGCCGTCTCCGGGGAGCTGCCTCGACCTTGCGGCCGAGACCCCTCCCCGACTGCACAGTCAATGACTGTGCGGTTCCCTCGCGGTTGCGGCGCGGGGCGAACACCTGCCCCACGCCGCGCCCTCCCAAAGAGTTTGGGGGGCGGGGCCATGGCTCGAGAGCTCCCGCTCGAGCCATCGCCCCCCGACGAGCCATCGCCCCCCGTCAGGATCGTGCCTGATTTTCGCGCGGGTCCAAGCACGTCGTGTCATTATCGATGTCTTACGAAGTCCCTCTATTTCAGGCTTCCACCAGTAGGCTTGTTTCCTTGATGGTCTCTTCTTCACTCTAGTGGTGGCTGCGTCGCTTGCGTCATGGATGACCCGTTTGATCCATCGTGCTCTTCGGTCCGCTGAGTACTCTTCTCCCGGAGGGTCTGCGCTGTTCCAGTTAATAACGGCGCTGAACATCTCCTCATCCATTTTGGCCCAATTCCACCTTGGGTGTCTATATCTCCCTTTGTTATTTCTGGGAGCCCTTCCACCAGCAGAACCTCGACCCATTTTCATGCTTATGTACTGGTTGTCCGAGAGCGATTCAACCCCACTCAGAACCTTCCACTCGTGTATACGATTGCTGATGTCCGCGGTAGACCACGTCAGGTCTATAATTGACCATCCTTGTGGTCTGACGCAGGTGGGCGTGTTGCCAGTGTTGATTAGGCGAAGATCGTGTTCCGCCGCCCACTCGCACACTAATTCACCCCGCCTATCCGTGTGGGGAGAGCCCCACTGAGAAGACTTCGAGTTAAAATCCCCACAGATGAGAGTCTTCCCCTCTAGCAGTCTCACGGCTACTCCAAGTTCGTCCAAAAATGTGAGGAAATTCTTACTGTCACAATTGGGTGATATATAGCACGCGATAACATTTATGCCACCGTGTTTGGCTACCACAAAGTCTTGAGCTCTATATATTAGCGAACACACCTGGGTCTCCCTCGACGCTCTCCAGTGTATCGCTGCCAGCCCGTTACTGCTTCCAAACCAATATGGATTTTCGGGTATACTCCGTGGTTCCGAAATTGCACATATTGCAATGTCCATCTCTATCATGTGCTGGCCGAGTAGTTGTTGAGCTGACCAGCTGCGTGCCAAGTTGCACTGTAAGACGTTATGCATCTGTGGCTGCTACCTCCTCGGGCCTCCGTCCCGGTTCTCCATAGGCTCCGAAGACTGTTGAGGTTGCGTGCTTTTTACTGTCGCCTTGAAATCAGCTCTACACAGCGCTGTACCGATCCGATGATTAGAATCCTTTCCCTGATCCGCGCACAGAATACAGCGAACCGGGTTTGTGCACGTTAAGGCTGGGTGCCCATCTGTTCCGCATCTGTAACAAGTACGACTCCTGTCTATAGTGGACGTGCACTTGGTTCGTAAATGGCCATGACCCCAGCATTTAAAACACTGAATGGGTCTGGCCTTCAGCATTTCTATGCGCGCCACCGTCCAGCCTATCTTTATCTTGCCTGTCTGCGAGGCTTTATTTGCCGCCCCCAGAGGGCATTGCGCCCATACTGTAAACAGCCCGTTTGTCATAGGCCTTATAACCCCGACTTTCACCTCACTTGGTGCACATCCACCTGTCGCAGCTATTACATCTGCTACTTCATCCGATGCCACCGAATCATCGATGCCGATTAAGCGAACTTCTCCTTTGATAACTGGTCGTGTAACCGTAGCAGTATCACCCAGGATATCGCGAACCTTTTCTTTAAGTAATTCAGCCTTGGCGGCCTTATCCTTCCCTGGAACCTCAATTATTATTCCTCCGCTTGCAGCATGCCTGACTGTCGTCTTTTCTATTTCCAAATCCGGCAGCTTGATTTCATCCCTTAGCTTCTTTAATGCTGTCGCGTAAGAGAATCCCTCCGCAGTTCCCTTAATCGCCACTGCCGCTGTCCTTGGCGGTCTCCTTTTTTTTGCGGCTGGTCTACCATTACCTTCCATCTTTATGTTATTCCTCGCATTGCTAGGATCTGCCACCAACTGCTGTCTTTGCGGCTGCTGCTGTTGTTGCTGCTCCACGCGTGGTTGTTGTTGCTGTTGTGGCTGTTGTTGTTTAGCCCTCTTCCGTAGCAGTTTCTTCTGCTTTTTACCAGTGCTGTCCATTCCATATCTTCCGTTTCTTCCCGCCGGTCCATGGGGGAAGGCAGGGATGGAAACTTCTCTGTGGTCAAGGGAGGGGCAATCTGGACGTTTCCGACCACTCGAGGGATCCCTCGAGATGGACTCGGTGGCCGGGACAAACCAGGATCGCCCCTAGATGCTTGCCTAAGCTCGCGCCTTCTAGTTTGGAGCTCCACTATTTGTCTGGACAATTCCGCATCCAAACTGCGATCACGATCCGTCATGGTTCGCAATCCACTCTTCTCCACAGCAGGGATAGGTTTTGAAACGCTCTGTAATGGAGGTCTCATGACCGTTTCCCCCTCAATGTTAGCAGAGACGATCGATCTAACTCCGGCACTATTACTTCTGCTTCGGTTCCTCTTATCGAGTCTAATTTTAGATTCTTTACTTTGCCAGGTCGGGGCTGGGCTTTTTGGCTCGTGTCCCTTCTTGGAGCTGCCTCCATTGGGGAAGTTGCCTTCTCCGAACGTTGGACGTCGAATGTCAGTGCATTCGTCAGATCTTGTACCTTCCTCTTTAGGTCCTCAATGTCCTTCCTCATACGGGCTGATTCACGCTTTGTGGCAGTCAATTCAGCCAGAAGTTCCGCATTGCGCCTTCGTAAGTATGCAGGATCGCCGGTATCCTCCAACTTCTCAGTGAAGAGCGTTATCGCCTGCTTGATGACTTCGATCCTTTTGCGAATTTGCCCGCTCAGAGCACCCTGGTAGCTGCTCCTAGCCCTGATAGTGTCGATGTCCTCCAACTACTCGACTGCGGCTACACTGGCATCCGTCACCGTCATCATGTTCAGTTCATCTACCGTATGCAGAGGACGAAGCATTTGGTCTATTGTCGGCTCATCAGGTCGACGCTTCCGAATCGTCTTCTTAACAGAGGGCTTTTCGGAACCCAGCTTAGACTCCGCCTCAGAGCACGATTGGACTGGCTGATCCGAGTCAGTTGTGACCAACGCACGCGCTTGCTTCTCTTCCATTCCCAGATCTCTTTGTGATCTGGTCTTCCTCCCAGATGTTTTCTCATCATCCGTGATGATACATTTTACCTTACTTAGGCTAGACTTCCTTCTTCTTTGCAGCGCTGGGTCCTCTTCCTCCATACTGAGTTCTTCCCTCCCGCGTTTTCCCAGCAATGCAGTAGAAAAATCCATAGGATCGGTTGACTCTACCACGTGAGCATTTTCCGTCACTTCATCCTCAGCCATAGGCAATCTTCTAGGCGACATGGGTGGCACCTTAATTTCCGATTGGGTTGTAGCGACTTATAAATAAATTCACCAGATTTTTGAAAAAGTAATGTTTATTCATTGAAAGTATAAAGCGAAAGAACAAAAAGAATTAATATGTAACAAATAAATGAATGAATGTGTTGTTATGGAAATATTGATTTTTCTTAAAAACATTATGTATATTAATGAATTAAAGTTATTACAAATGTACAAAGATGTAAAAAGTGTAAAAGTGCAGTGAAAAGTGTAAGGTGTAATAAAAGTGTAGAGTGTAAATGAAAGGTGTGGATGATGAATGCTACAGTACTCCCCCCCAAGTGACGATATTCGTTGCGAAATGGACTTTCTTCTTCTTTGGTGAGTAGGTGCGTAAAGCTTTTCCAACAGTAGAAGAAGAAGAAGGATTTGAAGTAGCAGAAACAGGAGCTGAAGTAGCAGGAACAGGAGCTGAAGTAGCAGGAACAGGAGTTGAAATAGCAGGAACAGGAGTTGAAATAGCAGGAACAGGAGCTGAAGATCTGGTAGAAAGTTCAGTAGAATCTGAAGTTCTAGGAATGAAGGCTGGCTTGAGACGTTCTGTCGAAATATTGACAACTCTTCCTGAAACATTAACTGCAAATAAATGATCAGAGATACGTTTCTCAATAGGAAAAGGGCCAGAATAAGGAGGTTGTAGTGACTTCCTAACAGTATCTTCTCGAATCCAAACATGAGTACAATCAAAAAGATTCTTGTGAACAAAAGGTGATCTTTTGCAATGATGACTTGTAGGAGATGATCTGATATTCCTCATATGAATCCTGTGTTTTTCAAGAAAGATTTCAGGATCTGCAGGAAAATCTTCTTCAATGAAAAATTCTCCAGGAATACGAAGAGTGGATCCATAAAGAAGTTCTGCAGGTGAAGCTTTTAAATCTTCTTTGAAACACGAACGTAATCCCAAAAGAACTGAAGGTAAAGATTCTACCCAGTTGGTTGTTTCGTGGCACATAATCGCTGCTTTCAAAGTTCTATGCCATCTTTCCAGAATTCCATTTGAAGCAGGATGATAAGCAGAAGTTCTAATCCTTTGGCATCCAATTAGGTTTGTTAAAGCTTTGAATAAAGCTGCTTCAAACTGAGGACCTTGATCTGTTGTAATGCTGATAGGAGAACCAAAACGTGCTACCCAATGTGAATAAAATGTTGTAGAAATAGTTTCAGCAGAAATCTCAGAAATAGGAACAGCTTCAGGCCATCTGGAAAAACGATCAATCATAGTAAGACAATAACGGTAATTTTGACAAATAGGAAGTGGTCCAACAATGTCTAAATGCACATGCTGAAAGCGTTGATCAGGAATTGCAATCTTAATTGGAGAATTCTTGGTGTGTCTTGAAATCTTCGCACGTTGACATGGAAGACAAGTTCGAGTCCATTCCTTCACATCTTTCTTCAAAGAAGGCCAAATGAATTTCAGTAGTAATTGTTTAGATGTCAATCTGCCGCTGGGGTGAGCGAGTCCATGAACAACATCAAAAATTCTCTTGCGTAAGAGTTTAGGAACATATGGACGAATTAATTCCGAAGAGCAATCACAATAAATAGGTATGGTTGATCCTGAAAGAATAAGTTTCTTCAACAGAAGTGAAGAATTTGAAGAAAGTAAAACTTGAAGTTCTTCATCTTCTTTCTGATAATTAGCAAGTTCTTCTAAAGAAACTATAATAGGCATTGAAATAGATTCAATTCTTGACAGAGCATCAGCAACTGAATTCATTTTTCCAGAAATATAGGTAATATTTGTAGAGAATTGAGCAATAAAGTCCAATTGTCTGATCTGTCTTGGTGACGCTTTATCCAATTTCTGACGGAAAGCAAAAATCAAAGGTTTATGATCAGTTCTGATAATCAATTGTCTTCCTTCAACAAAATGCCTGAAATGTTTAATAGCCAAATAAATGCTAAGAAGTTCTCTATCATAAGTGCTATAATTTCTTTGAGCTTTGTCTAGTTTCTTTGAGAAAAATGCTATTGGTTTGATATCGTCGTCAATAGACTGTTCAAGTGATGCACCAACAGCAAAGTCAGAAGCATCACAAGTTAAAATAAGAGGAGCATGAGGAGCAGGATGAGAAAGGGTAGTAACTTGTAAAAGTTCTTCTTTACATGACTCGAAAGCTAATTCCGCTTCTTTAGTCCAAGAAATAATTCTTCTATCCCTCTTGCGACTGTCCTTTAAATATTCTGTTAACAGAGCTTGATGATTTGCAGCATCCTTGAGACAGCGACGATAATAATTGATAATTCCTAAGAATCTGCGTAATTCATGAAGTGTCTTAGGTTTAGGATAATCAATAATTGATTTCACTTTTTCGGATGTAGGTTTAACTCCTTGGTTAGAAACTAAGTAACCAAGAAAAGAAATCTCGCTTTGACCGAAAAGACATTTAGCGACATTGATTGTCATTCCAGCTTGTTGAAGACGATCAAAAATAATGCGTAAGTGAGCAATATGTTCTTTCTCATCTTTAGAAGCAATAAGAATGTCATCAAGATAACAAAAGGCAAAACTCAAATCATTAAGTAAAGAGTTCATGAGCCGTTGAAAAGTTTGGGCTGCGTTTCGTAAACCGAAAGGCATTACGACAAATTCAAAAAGCCCAAATGGAGTAGTGACAGCTGTTTTGTGAATATCTTCTTTAGCGACGGGTACTTGATAGTACGCTTTAACTAAGTCGATTTTAGAAAAGATATTCTTACCAAAAAGTGAAGAAGAAAAATCTTGAATATGAGGTAAGGGATAACGATCCGGGATAGTCACTGAATTGAGTGCACGATAATCACCACACAGTCTCCAAGAATTTTGTTCCTTTTTAGGTACCATATGTAGAGGGGCTGCCCAGGAGCTGCTTGAAGGCCTGCAAATTCCTTGCTCCATCATAGACTTGAATTCTTCCTTGGCACATTTAAGTTTCTCAGGAGTAAGTCTTCTGGGAGTCGAAAATTTAGGAGAACCTTCCGTAACGATATGATGTTCAACACCATGTGTTTTTACCGAGGAAATTGGAGAAAAACGGGTGAGTCCTGGAAATTCGGTTAAAAATTTGTGGTACACAGAATCAGGAGATGTGGTAAAAATTGACAAATGTGCAACTTCTTGAATTTTTCCAGTATTCATAAGACCGGTAACATTATCAATCAATTTCTTGTTTTTAATGTCAATTAGGAGATTAAAATGACAAAGGAAATCGGCGCCTAAAATAGGACGTTGAATATCCGCGACACAAAATTTCCATTTGAATTCTCTCCTTAAACCGAGGTTCAAAATTAAAGTTTTAGAACCGTAAGTATTAATTTGAGTACCATTTGCGGCAAAAAGTTTTAAATTAGTATGCCACGGCTTCAATAAAACCTTTTTAGGTAACAACGATATATCAGCGCCCGTATCGACAAGAAAATTCAAATTTGAATGTCTGTCGAAAATAATGAGGCGATTGTTAGAAACACCGTCGTAAGCAGCCTCAGTCTTAAGCGGCGTTTTTAGTTTTCCTGTGAAGCCAAGAATGTTTTGGACATAGAACAAGGTAAAGTACATCGTTTAGCCTTATCACCAAACTTCTTATGGTAAAAACAAATTGATGTATCTTTAATATCTTTATTTGATTTGTCTTTCTTACGCGATAACGATCTAAATCTTCTATTCTCTCTAGACCGGCTTTTGGAACGATCTCGACGACGAGAAACTTCAAGAGCTTCGATTCTTCGTAGC